CTAAAAAAAAAAAAAGTGTCCAGTTGAAGGACACACAAGAGAATCACTAGAGCCCAAGAATTTGAGGTTGCTGTGAGCTGTGACACCATGGCACTTTACTAAGGTGACAAAGTAAGACTCCATCTCAAAAAAAAAAAAAAAAAGAAAAAAAGGGAAATTTAAATGTCAGAAACTCCAAAGGAATATAGAATGAATAGCAGTGGCATCATTGATTCCAGAATATCCATTTTCACTTTGTTAGAGAACATTATCACTTCATGTCATGTCCCTAGGCATATGGCTGTGGGGGTGGAGTTTGAGACTAGGAGGCTAGAGACTGGTGTTCTGACCCACCCTGCACTTTGTGCTGTCACACACACCTGCCTCCCCCAGGAAGTCTTTGAAGCCCTGTGTCTCATGGACAAGGAAGATTCTACAAAGATCCATCTAAGGAGACTCCCCCTCCCTATCTTATAAGTGTCTGGGGAGTGGGTGTTTCAGGGAGTCTAAAGACCTGTGGTGATGTGCAGGCAAGAGCTGAGGTAGGTTCTGGAGTGGTTCAGGCCAGGTGGGGCGTTTGGGCCCAGCCTCAGCTGCCATAGCCCTGGAAGCTGTAGGAGGGGCAAGGATTTGGAGTCACTTAGGGGCCACCTCCACTGGGCTCCTCACTCTCTGAAATGGGTTTGTCAGGGTACCTTCTTGCCCTAGCTATGGGGATTTCTGCGGTGTGTATAAATGGCCTGGCAGATTGGCTGCCTCTGTTTGCTGTGGCTGGCAGAGGTCTTTTCTCTCTATCCTGTATTCTCACTGCTCTACATCACACTTTGCCCAGGCGTCTCTGTTTCATGCTTAGTAAATAACAGGATCCCTTTCATTTTTAAAAGTGCCCAGTTAATAGCCGGGCATTGTGGAGGGCACCTGTAGTCCCAGCTATTTGGGAGGCTGAGGCAAAAGAATCACTTAAGCCTTGGCTCAGCACCTGTGGCTCAAGCGGCTAAGGTGCCTGCCACATACACCTGAGCTGGCGGGTTCGAATCCAGCCTGGGCCCGCCAAACATCGATGATGGCTGCAACCAGAAAATAGCCAGGTGTTGTGGTGGGCGCCTGTAGTCCTAGCTACTTGGGAGGCGGAGGCAGGAGACTTGCTTGAGCCCAGGAGTTGGAGGTTGCTGTGAGCTGTGATGTCAGGGCACTCTACCCAGGGGGACAGCTTGAGGCTCTATCTCACTCAAAAAAAAAAAAAAAGAATCACTTAAGCCCAATTTGAGGTTGCTGTGAGCTATGATGCCACGGCACTCTACCCAGGGTGACAGCTTAAGCCTCTGTCTCAAAAACCAAACAAAATATGGGCAGCACCTGTGGCTCAATGAGTAGGGTGCCCACCCCATATACTGAGGGTGGTGGGTTCAAACCCTGCCCCAGCCAAACTGCAACACAAAATAGCTCAGCGTTGTGGCTTGGCTACTTGGGATGCTGAGGCAAGAGAATTGCCTAAGCCTAAGAGCTGGAGGTTGCTATGAACTGTGACGCAACAGCATCTACCGAAGGCAACAAAGTGAGACTCTATCTCTAAAAAAAAAAAAAGTGTCCAGTTGAAGGACACAACATATGAGGCCAGGCGTGGTGGCTCACGCCTGTAATCCCTGCACTTTGGGAAACCAAGGCAGGTGATTGCCTGACCTCATGAGCTCAAGACCAGCCTGAGCAAGAGAGAGACCCCATCTCTAAAAATAGCCAGGCATTGTGGTGGGTGCCTATAGTCCCAGCTACTCAGGAGGCTGAGGGAAGAGGATCGCTTGAGCCCAAGAATTTGAGGTTTCTGTGAGCTATGATGCCTCGGCAGTCTACTGAGGGTGACAAAGTGAGGCGCTCTCTCTCTCTCTCTCAAAAAAAGAAAAAGACACAACATATGATAATGCTCTCTGTTGTCATTTTGGATTAGGAACCACAGAGACCTCCCTGAGATGTGGCTTCCGTGGCTATGATTCCAATCTTGGTAGACCAGGTCAGCATCCCTGGGGCTGCCTCCACAGAGGTGAGGGTGGGGATACCCTGACTCTTAGAGGGGTTACCTGATGTCAGCAGGGTAGTGTACACAACTTCCAGCCACAGAATGCCCATGTTTTGACAAGTATAACACACTCCCATGATTAAAGTGCACCCAAGTTTTTTGTCCAAACATTCAGTAAAAATTTTATTGTTTATTTATTTATTTATTTATTTGAGACAGAGCCTCAAGCTGTCCTCTTGGGTAGAGTGCCATGGCATCACAGCTCACAGCAACCTCCAACTCCTGGGCTCAAGCGAGTCTCCTGCCTCAGCCTCTCAAGTAGCTGGGACTACAGGCGCCCGCCACACGCCCAGCCATTTTTTTGGTTGCAGCCATCATTGTTGTTTGGCGGCCTGGGCTGGGGACTCGAACCTGCCACCTTAGGTGTATGTGGCTGGCGCCTTAGCCGCTTGATCCACAGGCGCCGAGCCTATTGTTTATTTTTTAACATGGTACAAGAAATTTTATGTTAAAAATAATTACAAAATACAAAAAGAAATACCAGGTTTTATGTACTGGTAACAAATTTATGTTAACAAATTTACGATATTTGTACATCATAGAAGGCCAAGAGTTCTTCTCCAGTGTCAGCATCAGACATCAACTGTGTCAACATCATATCATCTTTTTTTTTTTTTTTTTTTTTAAGAATATCACTCAGTTGCCTGGGGTAGAATCCTGTGGTGTCATAGCTTGTACTAACCTTAAACTCTTGGGCTCAAGCATTCATCTTGCCTCAGACTCCCAAGTAGCTGGGACTACAGGCGCCCACCACAGTGCCTGGTTAGTTTTTCTCATTTTAGTAGAGACGGGGCCTCACTCTTGCTTAGACCAGTCTTGAACTTCTGAGCTCAGGCAGTCATCCTGCCTCAGCCTCCCAGAAAGCTGGAACTATAGGCATGAGCCATCTTGCCAGCCTAAGAATAGTCTTCAGTTTCTACATAACAGGTATCTTCTCAAGAGTCACTTTACGCATCTCAGTAAACTTCATCATCAGTTCCATTCATAGCATTGCTGATGGCTGCCTTTTTTTTTTTTTTTTTGTGACAGAGTCTTACTATGTCACCTTAGGTAGAGTGCTGTGGTGTCACAGCTCACAGCAACCTCAAACTCTTAGGCTTAAGCAATTCTCTTGCCTCAGTCTCCCAAGTAGCTGTGACTACAGGTTCCTGACACGACACCTGGCTATTTTTTTGGGAGGGGGGTAGTAGTTGTTGTTTAGCAGGTCTTGGCCGGGTTCAAACCCTCCAGTCCCAGTGTATGTGGCTGGCACCCTAACCACTCAAGCTTTGGGTGCCAAGCCTTTTTTTTTAAACATAGAGTCTCACTTTGTTGCCTTGATTCCCAAGTAGCTGGGACTACAGGTGCCCACTACAACACCCGGCTATTTTTAGAGATGGGGTCTCACTCTTGCTCAGGCTGATCTTGAACCCATGAGCTCCGCAATCCACCCACCTCGACCTCCCAGAGTGCTGGGATTACAGGCGTGAGCCACTGCACCAGCTGAAATATTTTTCTTTTAAAGGTGATCATAGGCCAGCTGTGCCTGTGGTTCACTGAGCAGGGTGCTGGGCCCATATACTGAGGGTGGCGTATTCAAACCTGGCCCCAGCCAAACTGCAAACAAAAAATAGCCAGGTGTTTTAGTGGGCGCCTGTAGTCCTAGCTATTCCGGAGGCTGAGATAAGAGAATTGCCTAGGCCCAGGAGTTGGAGGTTGCTATGAGCTGTGACGCCGTGGAACTCTACCAAGGGCCACAAAATGAGACTGTGTCTCTAAAAAAACAAAAAAGCAGGCTTGGTGCCTGTGGCTCAAGTGGCATAGGCGCCAGCCACATACACCTGAGGTGGCGGGTTCAAATCCAGCCTGGGCCCTCCAAACAACAATGATGGCTACAACCAAAAAAATAGCCGGGTGTTGTGGTGGGTGCCTGTGGTCCCAACTACTCGGGAGGCGGAGGCAGGAGACACACTTGAGCCCAGGAGTTGGAGGTTGCTGTAAGCTGTGATGGCACAGCACTCTACCCAGGGGAATAGCTTGAGGCTCTGTCTCAAAAAAAAAAAGGTGATCATAGGTGGTAGCTTTGTCCCATCTGCACAACAGGTTGGAACAACAGTGAAGTGTGTGTTCTCTTGTCCACTAGGGTTAACAGCCACAGGCTTTGCTCCTCTAACATCCATAGTTGTGTGGGATATCACATCACATTTGAGTGGGACCTCATCCATGTTGGCGATTTGGGCAAGCTTAAAGTTGTAAGGCATTTGAGGATTGGTAACATAAGAATGAAATTCCAAAACCTGATTCTTAAAGGCTGCTGGAAGTTTGGGGGGCAGGTTTCATTTGCGTACTCATGCTCAATCCTTCTCTTTTCATGAAGGGACACTTTTCAGGTGTCCCTAAGAAGTCTTAAATATTTTTTTCTCTAATCCTTTTACCCCCTTGTATCATCTTGGTCGAAACTGAGATCCCAGTTTGGTGCTGCTCCAGAATCCAGGTCTTCACCTGCTCCACCTCTGGCCATTCTGGAGGCTCCCCTCACATTGCCTTCTGTCTAGGCCTCTGAAGAAGCTTTTCTTCCTGTTTCCTCCACAATCTGATGACACTCTGGAAGGAAGTCCAAAGTGTGTCTCGGTAGTTCTGTCCCCATGCTCTTTAGCATATTTAATAACCGTTAGCTTAAAGCTTGCAGTGTGCAAAAACTGTTTCAACATTGTTCCAAGGGATTTTCCAAATGTTATTCCTTGTCGGCCGAAAATGCTTTCACTGCATGTTTGTTCCTTTTTTTTTTTTTTTGCAGTTTTTGGCTGGTGTCAGGCTTGAACCTGTCACCTCTGGCATATGGAGCTGGTGCCCTTCTCCTTGAGCCACAGGTGCCGCCCTGCATGTTTGTTCTAAATTCAACAAAACTGATTAGTATATTCCAGGGTATTTGGCATATGGATGTCATTATTGCGTTCTAGAGTTACACTTTTTTTTTT